AGAAGTCAGCATGATAATAAATAGAGGAAAGGAAGAGAAAGAGGAGAGAAAAAGAAGAGGGGGAGGGGAAGAGGAAGGGGAAAGAGGAGGGGAGAAGGAGGAGGAGGAGAAGAGGCAGAAGGAGAAAGAGAAGGAGGAGGAGGAGAAAGAGAAGGAGAAAGGGAAGGGGAAAGAAAAGGAGAAGGAGGAGGAAGAGGAGGAGAAGGAGGAGGAGAAGAAAGAGGAGGAGGAGGAGGAGGAGGAGAAAGAGGAGGAGGAGCAGGAGAAGGGGAAGGAGGAGGAGAAGGGGAAGGGGAGAAAGAGAAGGAGAAAGAGAAAGAGAAGGAGGAGGAGGAGGAAGAGGAGAAGGAAGAGGAGGAGGAGGAGAAAGGAGGAGGAGAAGGGGAAAGAGAAGGAGAAGGAGGAGGAGAAGAGGCAGAAGGAGAAAGAGGAGGAGGAGGAGGAGGAGGAGGAGGAGGAGGAGGAGGAGGAGGAGAAATAATCATTGCAAAATGGGATACTTCACATGGAAATGTTTTACCTTCTGGGAATGACTCTTGTTTCACAATACTGAGACCCATGATATCAAGATTCCTCCAAAACATAGGAAGAGATTCTGTTGGTCATCATGTTTTACTCAGAGAACTTTGATATGAATTTCAAAAAGGAGTATCATTTTTAGAAAATGAAAGGGCTGCTAAAAAGATTGGAAAAAGACTTGATAGGCAACGGCAGGGAAGATAAGACCCTAAGGACGTACTGAACAACGTTACTGCAGCTTTCTTGGATTCAGAATTCTTACGTAACTCAGTTTATCTTTCTAAATGTCTCTGGGGTTGTTCTTCATCGTGTCTGTCCTTGTGGGTGGCTTACTTGGGGACATTTTGTACTTCTTCTCCCCCTTTCAATCAAGAACATTGCCAGCCAAACTGGAAGATTATTTCACTGTGGCATCGCTCCAAAGACAGAAGCTTCTGCATTTATTTTCACTGCATATTTAATGATCACATCAAACTTTCAGCATCTAATTGCACATAAGGATAAAGACTTAATCCAGATATTTATAATATCACAGAAGAAACTTGTATTGGAGTCTTTTTGATCTCTCAGATGTCTCCAAGGTTTGTGGCTGTTCGGTTGCTAAGTCATATCTGACTCTTCACGATCCCATGGACCATAGTATGCCAGGCCCTCCTGTTCTCCACTGTTTCCTGGAGTTTGCAAAAATTCATGTTCATTGCATCAGTGACACTATCTAACCGTCTCATCTTCCACTGTCCCCTTCTTCTTTTGCCTTCTGTCTTTCCCAACATCAGGCTCTTCTCCAAGGAGTCCTCCCTTCTCACTTGGTGGCCAAAGTATTTGAGCTTCAGCTTCAACATCTGTCCAAGGAACAGTTGGGGTTGGTTCCCTTTAGGATTGACTGATTGGATCTCCTTGCAGTCCAAGGGACTCTCAAGAACCATCCCTAACACGTCTTCAAGGTACATCAAATGGATCCATGTCTGGTTCCACAACAGAGACAATATCTCACCTGGCCAAGTAGGACATCTTGACTGAGAACGTTCTAGATAAGAATAAAGTGGCACCTAGAAGCTTCAGAATTCAATAGTGTCATTTATCTCTCTTTTATTTTTTGGAGCTTCATGACCAGTGGTGGGATTCAAACATCTTGAACAACTGGTTCTATTATGCAGGCCTGGACCTCCGATGCCTAGAATGGACTTCCGGAAGTGGCATCAACGCACTTCTGGTGGGCCGTTCTAGGCCTGGGAAGTCTCTTCCAGGCCTAAGAAGCCTAGAACAGACTTCCGGAAGTGGTATCCATGCACTTCCAGTGGGCCGTTCTAGGCCTGGGAAGCCTCCAAGGCCTAGACTGGTCTTCCAGAAACCAGCCGGTTCTCCGAATTCAGGTAAATTTAACTACCAGTTCTCCCAAATTGGTGCAAACCGGCTGAATCCCACCATTGTTCATGACATTGTTCATGACAAAGGTTTCTCCACACTTCTTTTCTTTGGTGAGAGGACAGGCTGCTCCATGGGTTCACAAAATCTAAGGCCTAAATTCTAAATTCATTATATCAAAACCAAGTTTCCATTTTTGCATAACACACCCTCTTAGCGTTCAAAGAACATAAGTGAAAATTTGGAACTTTCTATATTGACAGAGGTGAGAATCTCATAAGTACAAAGATGGAAAGACACACTAATTGCCCACAGTGGAAGAGAGGATAGTAAAGGGGATGGAGTTAGCAGAGATGGCAGATCTGACTTTTTAATTATAGAAAAAGAACTTATCTAGTTTTGTTTCTACTTGGAAATTACTTCTGGATTTTTTTTTGTCTGAAACTGAAAAAAAAATGAAACTTTGATTTGAGGTTTGGAAGGAAGGAAGGAAGGAAGGAAGGAAGGAAGGAAAGAAAGAAAGAAAGAAAGAAAGAAAGAAAGAAAGAAAGAAAGAAAGAAAGAAAGAAAAAAAGAAGAAAGAAAGAGGGAGGGAGGGAGGGACGGAGGGAGGGAGGGAGCCTCCAGTGATGGAGCACGTACAATTTCTGAAGGCAAGCCATTCCACTGGTTAATTCTTCTCTTTATTAAGAAATTTCTCCTTAGTTCTAGATTGTGTCTCTCCTTGATTAGTTTCCATCCACTACTTCTTGTCCTGCCTTCAGGTGCTTTGTAAAATAGGGTGACCCCCTCTTCTTTGTGGCAGCACCTCAAATATTGGAATACTTCTATCATGTCACCCCTAGTCCTTCTTTTCGCTAGACTAAACAAACTCAATTCCTACAACCAATCTTTGTATGTTTTAGCCTTCAGCTCCCTAATCATCTTTGTTGCTCTTTTCTGCATTGTTTCCAGAGTCTCAACATCTTTTTTTATGTTCTGGTAACCAGAACTGGATGCAGTATTCCAAGTGTGGTCATACTAAGGCTTTATAACATGGTACTAATACTTCACATGATCTTGATTCTATTCCTCTATTAATGCAGCCAAGGATTTCATTGGCTTTTTTTGGCTGCTGCCACACACTCTTCATATTTAAGCGATTGCCCACTAGGACTTCAAGATCCCTACCAAAATTACTGCTATTGAGCCAGGTTTCACCTAATCTGTAACTGTACTTCCGGTTTTTTGTTTTTTTTTTACCTGTACTTTTTGGTAAGTGTAAAGCCTTACTTTTCTCTACACTGAATTTCAGTTTGTTACATAGGAGCCAATATACTTTTTTTTAAAGAAAGAAATAGGTGCCTACTATGACAGATATGCCGGTTCATGGACATCATCCTTCTTCAAGCAAAATAATGTGTGTAATGAAGCTTTTTAGGATATGATCAATTTATCCAGAATCAGACCATTCACTCACTTATTAAATTGATGTGCCCAGGAATAAATTGCAACTCTATTAAGTGAATCATATAAAAATTAAGGATTCCAGTTTCAAACAGATTTGATTTGCATTGCATTTTCAATCATTCTGCTTTTCCATAATGTCCATTTATTAGAACACCGTCGCATTAATCTTCTGTATAATTAATTTTCTACTTCATTTACAAGCTAAACTTAGGGGTTTTTTTTAAAAAAAAAAATCTTTGTACTACTATAGATTTTACATGAAAAAGGGAGTTGAAAGTATCTAATTAGAGAGGTAGGATCTATACCTGTAAATCTCTCCTGTAAGTTATGATGAAAGCAGTACTACACCAAGAATTATACCAATTGGAGGAGTACCTAGAAGATTAGTGGAGTCCTGGACATTTAGTAACTACAGAGGAGTAGAGAGATAGTGAGTTGGCTTTCCCATGGTTGAATACCCATCTTTGTTGTTGTTAGTTGCAAAGTCATGTCCGACCCATCGCAACCCCATGGACAATGTTCCTCCAGGCCTTCCTGTCCTCTGCCATCTTCTGGAGTCCATTTAAGCTCATGCCTACTGCTTCAGTGACTCCATCCAGCCACCTCATTCTCTGTCGTCCCCTTCTTCTCTTGCCCTCCATCTTTCCCAGCATTAGGCTCTTCTCCAGTGAGTCCTTCCATCTTTAGCCAAACAAAACTGAACATAGAACATAGACTGGACAGGTCCTCAGAGGTCTTCCAGTCCTACCCCCTGCCCAAGGCCAGAGTCTTTACACCATCCCAGATAAATGGTTGTCCAATCTTGTCTTGAAAACCTCCAGCAATGGAGCACCCACGACTCTGAGAGGCAAGCTATTCCTTCGGTTAATTGTTCTCACTGCCAGGCAATTTCTCTTTAGTTCTAGGTTGCATCTGTCTTTAATGAGCTTCCACCCATTATTTCTAAAGAAAAGAAGAAACGGGTGAGATGATAGCAGTATTCCAGTATTTGAGAGGCTGCCACAAAGAGGAGGGGATCATATTATTCTCCAAAGCACCAGAGGGCAGGAGAAGAAACAATGGTTGGAAACTAACCAGAGAGAGAAGCAACCTGGAATGAAGGAATAACTTCCTAACAGTAAGGACAATTAACCAGTGGAACAGCTGGCCTCCAGAAATGGTGGGCACTCCATCACTGGAGATTTTTAAGAAGACACTAGACAGTCAATTGTCTGAAATGGGTATAGGGTCTCCTGCTTGAGTGGGGGGCTGGACTAGAAGACCTCCAAGGTCCCTTCCAGTTCTATTCTATTCTATTCTATTCTATTCTATTCTATTCTATTCTATTCTATTCTATTCTATTCTGTTCTGTTCTGTTCTGTTCTGTTCTGTTCTATTCTAATTTCTTGCCCTGTCTTCAAATGCTCTGGAGAAAAAGTTGACCCCATCTTCTCTGTGACAGCCCCTCAAATACTGGAAAACAGTCGTGACTGGAACAGTGAAGACTGTTTCCCAACTCTGCAAAATCATAGCTATTTTAAGTGTCTTCGGTTGTGAAATATTGCTTGTATAGATCGGGAGAAGTCTCTGGATGGAATGTGACCTCTTCTGCTGAAAATGAATGGAGCAATCTATTCATTTCTATGTCAGTGTCATACAATTCATTACATTTCCTTCTTTTTTGTGTTTCACGCAAAATAATGTGCATCTAAACCCATATGCAGTTTCCCACAAATGTTGTACTTTTCATTGAAGAATTTCCACTTCATGTTCTGCAGCCTCTTTGACTCCCTAAACTTCAGAAGAATCTTAAGGAAAAACACCAAGAAAGGAACTTTATTCATTGAGTTTTTGTTATTCATAGGAAGAAGAAGAGACAGAGGCTGACGTGTAACCCAGAGAGATTTTTCAGAAAGCAATAGTAGTACCCTTCAGCCAAGGTCCCAAGATCAGATGAAACTCTAACCACTACAAAAAACAGGAACCCAGAAGACATCTGCAAGAAGCCCAAGAGTAAAACAACAACAACAACAACAACAACAATAATAAAAATCAACTGAAGCATCTTTTGAAAGAAATACAACTTTGTTAAAAAGGGGAAATACACGTTAGCAAATATAAATCAAAACAGGACAGAGATGGTGTCTCTCGATCAGGAGGAAAGTCTATAAATCTTCATCTCGACCCTTGAAGACGGTTAAGGATAAGCAGGAAGGGAGGGAGGAAAATGGAGAGAGGGAGAGAGAGAGGGAAGAATTCAGACATGTCTTTTGAGTTTCAGTTTTCTCCTGGACTCTCTAGAACGGGACCTCTTGGTGGTCTTCATTGACATGACTCTTTTGATCTCAGAAAAAGTTTGTGTCTTGGTTTCTGGAACCATTTTGTAGATGTATACAATGGTTCCTAAACAGAAGGGCCAGAAGACCACAAAGCAGTAGTACCCCAAGTCCTTCTGAAAATGAAAAAGAAAAAAAAAACAATATGTGGGAAATTCAGAGAAGGAAAGAGGGAGTAATACATCTTTTATCACATAGATATCATTCTGGCATCTTTCTTATCTTTCCATGTTAGCCTCTGGTCCATGAGGCTCTTATCCTAGCCATATGCCCAAGGGTAGAAGAGGAAGCCACTCCTAATGAGATCAACAGCTCCCACTTGTATCTTCTCTAGATTGCCATTCACAATTTCAGGCAGAGAGAAAGCTACAAGTAGTCCTTGACTTACAATCAATCATTTAGTGACTGTTCAAAGTTAGAACAGCACTGAAAAGGGTGGCTTTCAATCAGTCCTCACACTTGCAACCGATGTACCATCCCCGTGGTTATAGGATCAAAATTTGGTTGCTGGGAACCCGGATTGCATTTACAATGGTGGCAGCATCCTGGGGTCATGGGATCACCACTTCCCATCTTCCCATCCAAACAAAGTCAACAGGGAAATCCAAATTTGCTTAAAGTCCATAGGATTCACTTAACAACTGCAGTGATTAGCTTAACAACTGTGGCCAAAAAGAAAAAAAAGGTTGTGAAATTGGTTTGTGACTCACTTAACAGCTCCTTTGCTTAACAATGAAAATACAATTATTTCAATTGTGGTCATAAGTTAAGGTCTAATTGTGCTTCTGTTCTCTGTGCAGAACAATTTCTTCCCAGGCAAAATGTAAAATATAATTACTAGAGCAGAGAGCTGTGCTCCATCATGTCTGCCCTCTTATAGCATCAAGACCAGTGGTGGGATTAAAATATGTGAACAACTGATTCTCTGTGTGGATGCCGCTTCCGGAAGTCCATTCTGGACCTGGGCAACAAAATATTAACTACCAGTTCTGCCGAAGTGGTGTGAACCGGCTGAATCCCACCACTGATGAAGACTGACTGATGCCTCTGCTAAAAGTAGTCAGAAAGTGGGTTCTCCCCCCCCCCCCCAGGCACTGTGGTGAAAAAGTTGTAAACTAAACCAAGGTTGGTTCTGTCAGACCAGTGTAACATTATTGGCAACCGGATACAAGAACACAGCTGAAAACTGCAGATGATAGATAGATAGATAGATAGATAGATAGATAGATAGATAGATAGATAGATAGATAGATAGATAGATAGATAGATAGATAGATAGATAGATAGATAGATAGATAATTGCATGATACTTTCCTCCCTCTCTGTCCAGGTAACTTTTATTTTAATTGAATTTTAATTTTATCATCCTTAGGTATTGCATTTTAATTGAATATCTGTAAGCCATAGAGAATCACCTCTGACGAGATGGCCTGCATACAACATAGATAGATAGATAGATAGATAGATAGATAGATAGATAGATAGATAGATAGATAGATAGATAGATAGATAGATAGATAGATAGATAGATAGATATAGATAGAGACATGATAGATAGATAGATAGATAGATAGATAGATAGATAGATAGATAGATAGATAGATAGATAGATAGATAGAGACATGATAGATAGATAGATAGATAGATAGATAGATAGAGACATGATAGATAGATAGATAGATAGATAGATAGATAGATAGATAGATAGATAGATAGATAGATAGATAGATAGATAGATAGATAGAGTACAGCTTCAAGAATAGGCTTGAAATATGCCAATTCAGCTTTTCCCAGCAAATTGCTCTTCAAAGTCACTCACTTCTCTCACACTGAGAGCAAACCTCTCTCCCTTCGAGCACTGATGATGCTACCTAGTAGGGTCAGGAAATGCCTGGAAAAAAACAGCCAAGCTCAGAGAATCCCCAGGGCCCCTGACTTACCTCTAGGTAGAAGAATGTTAATCCTGTGATAAAATTTGCGCTCCAGAACACAGAGCCCGCAATCACAAAAGCCGAAGCTCTTGACGACTGAGAGAACAGCTCCAATGTAAGCAAGTGTGGAAGGGCCGCTTGTAGTCAAAAGGAAGACAAGAAATGAGGAATCACTTTTCAGGGGCAAGGTCATTTCTCCTGGTTGGGGCTTGATCTTCATCCAGAGGACCCTGAACCATCGCATTACTTACCAGGTCCAAAATCGTGTGCACAAACGAATAGGATTATCATCAGGGAGCTGAAATATGACAAGTTGCTCATAGTTTTCTGTTGGAGGAAAGGGGATGTATTTCAGCGACGGACTGGTGGAATTTGCAGATGGCTTTGTTTGTCTAAGGCAGTTTTAACAGAAACCCGGCAGAAACATGATGGAATAACATAGGTTATTGCAGGTCTTCTAGTCCAGGGGTCCCCAACCCCCAGTCTGCGGACCGGTACTGGGCCACAGCATGCCAGCAACAGGTCCGCACAAACAAGCAAAGCCCCATCTGTGGAAGGCAGGCAGCACACAACATTTCTTCCAAATTACAAACCTGCAGTTCAAGGGACACTATTAACAAAATGGAGCTGATGCTGCAACATGCAAAACTCGTAAGAAGAAGGATCCGCCGTCCCACATTATCAACCAAGTACATCTAGAGAATATGAAAAGAAGGAAGCGTGTGAGGAAAAAAACAACAACAACATTTCATCATAGGACAGTGAAGTGAAAGACAAGTTCTACCTAATGTTGTGCTGTCCAGCTATCCTAGTCAGGTATCCAGATAGCAGATATCCTAAGAGCCTGGGTGGCGCAGTGGTTAGAATACAGTATTGCAAGCTAATTCTGCTGACCACCAGGAGTTCGATCCTGACTGGTTCAAGGTTGACTCAGCCTTCTGCAGCCGTTCTTCCTATGTTTTAGTCTCCAGGCCTTTGATCGTCTTAGTTGCTCTTCTCTGATTTTTTTTTCAAAACACTCAACATCTTTTTTGTGATATGGTGACCACAATTGGCTGCAGTATTCCAGGTGTGGAATACTAGAATAGACTAGAACTATTATATCCTGGTGATTGCCTCATAATCACTCAACTGGGTTTCATGCTTAAGGTGGAAGTAGAACTCACAGTCTCTAGGTCTCTAGCCAGATGCCTTAACCACCAGTGACCAGATCAACCTGGTTAGAGAGCAGGTAATTTCTTACCACTAGTAGAACAGAGGAGCACAGAATAACGATCATTGCAGTAGTTAAGTACTTCACGTCGCTCCTCTTCATAGGCATGATCAAGAAAATCCGCTCTGTATAAAAGTATGCCTGAAAGTAGAGCAGAGCAGAATAAAATGTGAATAGGAAAAAAACAAAACACCAAACTGTTGGAGATTCAGAGCAGGGCTGGGAAACCCTTTATATAAGCCCAAATAGCAGTAAACCTTCCTAAGAAGTAGGACCATTGCTGAGGAATACCAGGAATTATGTTTTACCAAAGTGTCAAGTGACACAATGGCCTCTTTGTAAGCCAGTACCTTGAGAAACTGAAATATTCTTTATTGGAGCCTGGAAGTGAATTACATTTATACTGATGTTTCTTTCTTTTTTTAATAAAAAATAAAGAAAAAGTTCATCAATAAAGAGTTTCATTTTTTCTCATCCAGATATACTGAATTATATTTCCCAAGATTCACTAGGTGGGATTTAGGTACCCTATCACAGAGATCCCCAACCTTTTGGGCACCAGGGACCGGTTCCATGGAGAGAGGTTTTTCCATGGACTGGAGGAGGTATGGTTTTGTGTGCTGCCTACATCCCACAGATGGAGCTTTGTTGTTTGTCTGGACTGCTTGCTGGCATGCCACGTGTCAATGCTGTGACAAACCGAACTGAAGCCATTTTCATTTTTGTCTTCATTGCCTTGTGCTAGCTTAGAGATTTTAGATGAAGGAGGAGGGAGGTGTAGTTCTCAGTTAGCCAAAACAATTCCTATGTGTGAGAACCAAGGTCATTGCTGATAACATTTTGGTGGGTTGAAGAACTGGGAGGAGAGCCCGAGTTTTGTAATAATTGGTGAGTGTGATTTATGACAGCAAATTGGGGTGGGAATTGCAACTTGTAACTTTGTAACCAGAAGGAGGGGATTTTAGTCTTGGGTTCACCTTTGTACTTTGTACTCTTGTTTCCTAAATAAAATGTTCTTTAAGGAAGAAATCCTTGCCTTGAAGTTCTTTTAAACGGTTTCATCTATTGGAACCATGACCCTGGGCCTGGTACTGGTCCACGTACCAGGGGTTGGGGACCCCTGCACTATCATATGAAAGGGGCACACATTCAATTTTCTTCTCCAGATTTGTATTCTCTCAATAACCAGATCTGTCACAGTAGGATTGCCCTAGCAGTCTACAGGTCATCCTTGACTTACAACAATTCATTTAGTGACCATTTGACATTACAACAGCACTGAAAAAGTGACCTATGACCATTTTTCACACTTATGACCATTGTACATCCCCGTGGTCAGGTGATCAGAGTTGAGACGCATGGCAACTGACTCATATTTATGACAGTTGCAGTGAATCATGTGATTCCCCTTTTTTCAACCTTCTGACTGACAAGCAAAGTCAACTCTTAACTCTTAACAACTATGTTACTAATTTAAAAACTGCAGTGAGTCACTTTAAAATGATGGCAAGAAAGTTCATAAAATGGGGAAGAGCTCATTGAACAACTGTCTTGCTTAGCAACAAAAAGTTGGGGCTCAGTTGTGGTCATAAGTCAAGGACTACCTATAATAAGGATCAATTCATAAATCACACAATTCAATCCACGTAGATTCCCGATTGCTTCTGATAGGAGGAGCAGGAGACGCATCTCGTTCAACTCACTGGACCATCATTTTCTTTCCAGCTGGAATCTGCTTTGAGATCAACTAGATTAATCTAGTTCCTAGATTCCTGTTGCCCCTATTGTCTTTTGACCCAGTTTTGTCATGTTACTGGAAAGTGGATGAAGAATGTGAGATGACGTTGTTACATTGGGTTTTTTCCTCACCTTCAGTTATAACTTGTAATTGAAGTGGGCTCCTGGCATGAACCTTTCTAAATGCTGAGATGATCAGGAAAGGCCCTCTTCAAGATGACCCATTTTCCTGAATTTGTTTATATGAAACCCAAAGGGCTTTTTTCACAATTGCTTCATAATTCTGGTAAGCTAAGCCAGATAGACTGCATAGATCAAACTGTATGTATTTTGCCTGCCCGTGAGCTTTGGGATTGAACATAGAATGGAATCTGTGTTCCAGACAGAACTGTTTTGGGGTAGGAGAAATGAAAAAGCCAGTGACATCAGTGTCAGTGGTGTGCCATTAGGGGTGTTGTGCAAGATAGTGACCATGAAGGGGGAACTTGGTTGACACACTATGGGAAAATGGCATTTTCCAAGGAAGATGGGAACACATTCCAGAAAGTGGAGGGAGACAAGAGGCCGCACAGTCCAGAGCTGGATAGGAGACATAGGAAGAGAGTAAACTAGACATGCTCTAGAGCAGACATGTCAAACACAAGGCCCGGGGGTCAGATACGGCCCGCAAAATGGTTTCATGTGGTCCGCAAAGCCATCCTGGAAACAGTGAGGGAACGGCCCCCACTGCCTTGGTCCTGCCCCAGGCCGGCCGGGAGCCAATGTACAATTTTGTGGGGGCCATCTATGCTGAAACGCATTCAGTCTTAGCTCCACAAGGCTGTCTGGAAACAGCAAGGAACCAGCCCCTGCCGTGTCGGCCCCGCCCCCTGGGTGCATGCTGGGGAGGTGTCACCCTTTGTGAGGAATGAAGAAATGCACGATCACCTGGAAGTAGCCAGCAAATGGCCCTCATCTACTTCACATATCCAGCTTGGGCTCCGGTGGAGGGGTTTTAGCAGGCAGTGAGGCTCCTCCAGTGGACCATGCCTTGGCACTTGACCCGGTCCCACCCCCTTCTGTCAGAGACCCTCAGATCTGTTCCACTCCTGCCCAGGCCCCCACAGGCACCCTTGACACGAACGATGTAGAGCTGGCCATGCCCACCCAATAGGCCACACCCACTCTGTCCACACCCACCCAGTAGGCCACCCCCCACCCACCCCGAGGGCAACCGCAATGCTGATGCGGCCCTCAATGAAATTGAGTTTGACATCCCTGCTCTAGAGTCTCCCAAGATATATCCATAGGAGGAGGAGTAAGACTTTAGTTTGGCAAGACTCTGTCTACTGTAAGCAAATAAAGAACTGAAACTCTGGATGAATTGTTTAACCTTGTTCTCGGCTTTAGTCTGACAGGTATGGAGTTGCATTCCATCTCATTTCAAAGAAAGACAAAGCAAGAATAGTGTTTTTCCCAACACATGTGTGTACACCCATGCATTCCATCTCAAGAAATTAATATTTTTTTTCAAACTACTTAGGTCTTGCTTACCACACTTATACCATTGAGCTGTGAACCAGCCATGATGACAACTATCGTGATGATGTGCCATCGCATACTTGAGGTCCGTATTAGTTTCAGTGGAGTCATGTCTTTGTTATTACCCTCAGCGAGGTCCTCCTGATACATTTCTTCAATTTCATTATCCACATCATCTGTCTCTCTCAGCATCTTCAGGACTGGGTGGGGGAAAAAAATAGAAGAAAATCTTTGCATTTGGAAAATGTACAAGAAAGTCATTCAGATAGCCGGCCCAATGGTGCTACTAGAATTAGGATTGAGAGAGGTTCTGGTCCCCATGTCTTCTCCAGAGTTTAGGCCAAATTGTGCCACAACTACTTCATTCAGACTTAGACAGTCAGGTGAACATTAATATTAAATAAATGTCCAAAAGCATGCTTGATCTCCAAATGGAGGTTTCCCTATGCAAAACTGGTCACTATCACAGTAAGTCCAAGATATCATTTCACTCCATCTCTGCAAATTGCTCCAAACATGCTCTCTTTTATTTATTTTTAAATTTATTACTATTAGAATTTCAAAGAAAAGAAATCATACTCATAAAAATTTAAATGATCTTAGACAACATGTGACCTGTCAGATAACACCAATAGGCAAAAAAGCAATGGGAGCAGAAGTAACTTCTGACTTCCTGCTGGCCTCCCCATTGTCTTTCTTTGTGGGAAACTCAAGGACTGGTGGAAATCTTGCTCATGTGACCCTGGGGACACTGCTGTGGCCACAACTTTGCAAACAAAAGTGGTCTGAAGTTCCTTGAAATTTCAATCATTTTTTTAGGCTAGCGGATTTGAGGTATCTTCAAAAATTATTGTGTTTTGATGTACCCTCTGGGCTAATTGAAGGGTTCAAAGAACCAAACTACAAGAGTTTTAGTAGTATACCAAAAAGGAAGGAAGGAAGGAAGGAAGGAAGGGGGGAGGGAGGGAGGGAGGGA